TGCTCTAAAGCTTTAGCATTGATAGTGTAGCATTGATGTTAGTGTAGCACCGTGTTATAGTTTTAATAATTGTAATGGTCATGTACGTGAGCCGGCTATGCGACGCCGCGGCATGCGCTGTTTTGCCTCGTCGAATGTAACCATCGAGGCATACGTGGATGCATATGCAGATGTCATCCCAGCTCGTGAAATCACATGCGCAGCTGCAAAGGTTAGCGGCAAGGCAGTGTTCTACATCTCAACCGAGTCTGCAGTGAACCGTGCTGTGGAGACTGGACTCTCCAACCACGAGGATCGCTCCCTCCAATATCTCCCCGTACACCCATGATGAAATGCTGAGAGAGCATATTGTCAAGCTTAGCACGATCACGCCGCCTCTCTATCCGTTCCCTATGGGGACCAAGACTCCCAGGATAAGACACGTGCTTTCCTTTCAACGCCATGTGCAAGTGCTGCTCAATCCTCAAGAGCAGTGCGAAGGGACCTTAATTGTGAACATTTTTAGGATATTGCTCACAGTTTACCACAAGAACTGTCCTACTCCCAGGGTCATCAATAATAGGGAAATCAAAGAAAAAAGAGACTGGAGGGTGGTGAAACTGTGGTACAGCCTGCAAACAGGCAAGGAGGTGTAGCTAGAACCAGTGGAAGCAGGGCTGCATCCTCAGGCCGCGACTTCCATTGCCAAACGTCGGTTCCTACTCCCGAATTGAGTGTATTGATGCAGGATTAAGCATGTCCCTGCCCTGTGCTGTCTTACAAGAGGAAGCTCAACAGATCTAGTTTCAGCTCACAAGAAACAGAGATGGAGGTGGTGGATACCGACAGCGACATCCCTCCACTGTAGTCAACAGAGTGATGAGGTCATTGCTCAATACAGCAGAAATGCACATGCCTCAGTGGAAAGAGGCATGAGGGGGACACAAGAAGCACCCACAAACAGAAGTGCATGATTCAGATTAAATGGAGTCCTCAATCACTCCAGCTGAACAGCCAACATGTGTGAAGGAACCAATGCCGGATGTGCAATATGACGAGGCCACATCAACAAGAGGGAATGATGAAAGTCACGTGCTAGCTAATAGCTACGTGGCTTTTGGCGTCTTTAAATGTAAATGGATGCAGGAGTGCACTTCGCAGATTTTGCGTAATTGATTTAGCAAAAGAGCAAAAGTGCTCACTCTTCCTACAAGAGACACATCTCATGGAGGAGGGTGAGATATGCTGGAAGGTTGACTGGATTATAAGATTTTCTTCAATCACCTTTCTAACAAAACTGCAGGGGTGGCAACTCTGGTATTCCCAGGGTTCTCATCAGGGGTCCAATGCAAAAAACGTAGTAGATGGTAGAGTCTTTCACATTGTTGCAAAATGCCATGGAACTACAGTTCACCTCATCAATGTCTAGGCACCTACCTCTGATAGGGATGTTTCCCTATTTAAGCATGTAGCTGCATATTTATCAGGTATATGGACGAATGTGTAGTAGGTGACAATTTCAACTGCACCATTGGACCAATGGATAGGTCTGGGATAGAGCCCTTATGCCAGTGTGCAACTCATGTGGCTGCTAAAAGACAGGGCTCTGATAGACGTATGGAGAGAACGCCACCCCAATACAGCCCATTCACCGTTGTTGGTACAAGACATGATGTTGCTGTACTTAAAAGGGAGGCACTAAAACTGGAGGCTGAACTTAGCCCAGGCGATGTTGCTGCAGTACACAGATACGACGAAGAAAAAGAGTTGCTTCGAAAAGTCCAGCTGCACAAGGCTGAAAGGGGCTTACGTTCCATCAAGATTCAGCTTTCTCAAGGTGGCTGATGCAGGCTGCACATTCTTTGCCGGCATTGAAAAGAGGAGCGGTCAGTTAAGCCACATACCGTGCCTGTACAATGGAGGTGGGTCAGCTAGTTAGCGGAGAAAGCCTGAGCGGAGTGACGAGGAAGTTCTACTCAGATCTGTTCTTCCCTGAATCTGCGCCTCCTGCTGCTTAACAAGAACATTGGCAAGAGTTACCGAAATTAAGCCTGGGATGACTAGACCTTCACGAACGAAATACTGGAAGGAGAATAACAGCAGCCCTCAAAGGACCGGTTCGAAATTAATTCCTCCGACTAGATGGCCTTATGATGGAGTTTTACTGTAGTTTCTGGGAGCTCCTTATGGATGAATATCTACAAGTGCTAACCAAAGCAACGGACAAAGGAGAGATGCCAAAATCCTAGAGGCGGGCAGTACTTGCCCTCATACCAAAAATGGTTATCTGCCGCACCTTAGGAACTGGTGCCCCATGTCTTTGCTTTGCACTGACTATAAGATTCTAGCAAGAGTACTATGAAATAGGCTTGAAGTCGTTCTAGCACACATAATTCACTCAGACCAGTCATACATTGTTCCGGGATGCACAATTCAATACAATATATTCATCATAACGGGATCTAATCACCTTGTCCGGATACTTTAATATCCCACTAGTTTTTTTGTCTCTAGATCAGGAGAAGGCTTTTGATCGTGTAGACCATACATACCTCCTGGGTAATTTGAGCGCATTTGGTCTGGAAGGAAACTTGCTTCGGCACGTTGTATTGCTCTACAGCAGTGCAGAGTGTTTGATAAAGATGAAAGGATCTCTATGTGCACCCATTCCTTTCAGCAGAGGGATTAGTCAAGGCTGTCCCCTGTCGGGGCAGCTGTATTCAGTTGTCCTGGAAATATTTTCTGTGCCTGCTAAGGAGAAGGCTTTCAGGGCTCGTCGTTAATGAGCCAGAAATGAGAATAACTCTGTCTGCTTATACAGATCATATAGTCCTAATGATGTGTATAGTAGTGTAGTGTATAGTAGTGTGTAGTGTAGTGTACAGGCGACATGTCATGTGCAGACTCGTCGCCAGATGCCGCTACTTTGCTCTTCCGCCATATGCATATGTACATGGTTGCCCGACAGTCTCCAGCTGTGCCGAGAGCGAACCCAGCAGTATCTTTCTCAACGCTCTTCACTTTTTTTTGAAAATTTTCTTCCAATTTTGAAAAATGTTCGCCTTTCGCTTCGTCTGAGAAGAGTAAATGTGATGCACATGCAGAAAAGTACTGAAGGATTTTCAAATGTAAGTATTTGCTTTTACTCGTTAAAGTAAATGTTTGTAAACGCAATGTTGAGTTACAATAAATGTTTGTTAGGGTTATTTTCATATATATTCGTGGTCAATTTTGGTATTTTTATGGTACGTAATGGGTTTCCAGGTACGGAACCCCCAATTAATAACGTCGTGTCCTATGGGAAACGAGGGTTCGACTTACGACGACTCAAGTTGCTGACTGTCATCCGGGAACCAATTAGGTCATGGGTGCGCAGGTTGCCTGTATTTCAATCGCCTCATCTCCACCATTACATCCGAATTTTCTTCCAAGACAAAATAAGACAATCAAGGAAAGGGTTGGAGAGAGTCATGGCATGCTTTTTTGTATGCCAGTTATCGAGCTGCACAGCAGGAGGCACAGCACGGTGGAGTAATGGTTAAAGGTATTGAATGATGCAAAAAAATGTAATCATTTTTTTGTATCAATGCACACACTTTTGCTTGTGCTCAACAGTAGCAAATACGTTATTGTGATCCCAGAATTAATCAAAGTTGATGTGCTTAATAAAAGTGAGTGGCTTACTTTAAATATGTTTAATTTGCTTTTATACAAGCCACCCACTTTTATTCAGCACATCAACATTTCTATTAAATTTTCTACGTTTGAGTGTAAATAAATGAATGTATGTGTGCATTGATAAACTAATTTTTTACCTATATTATGTTAAGGTCAATCAAAGTAAAACATAATTTGTGTACATATTAATTCGAAGATGTCAATCTAGGCAATAATACTTGTGTATTCTTGTCTGGATAATTCGAACGTATTGGAAATTGTGCGACGAAACATTCAATAAAACAGGAAGAGGCCCAGGATCGACTGGACCTGGCCCCGGTTCTTTAAATGAAATCTTGAATTGTCACGCCAGACGACGAATCTGTAGAAAATTTCAGCTCGGTAGGCTTTGTAGATCGGATAATATTAAGAGCGGCAAAGATTTGAAAGGATATAAACGGACAGACGGGTAAACTTAAAATAAATGTATGTAAAAAAGGGGCTTAATGTTTTCTTGCGTAAATGCAATGTGCGAGGGTGTTCAAACATCAAATAGATTGACTCCATGGTAAGAAAAATTGCCAGCGAACACGCTTCGATTCGTGTGCGCACCTGGCCTGCACCGGAGGCTGCCTCCTCCATATCCCTGTCTCACCACCAGTGCTGGGCCAGAGGCTGCTGACAGGTGACTAGCGCACGGACGAAGCAAACACCAACAACGTGCTCATGGCTTGGATTGAGAAGCCATTGTAACCGTGGGAGCTTTTTGCCAGTATCGAGATATTGAATTAGAAGAAGAATATGCTTTATAATTTCTAATCATAATACTTTCATTTCACATAGCGGCGTCATTCATGCCAACAGCATCCCACAATGCTATACATTAATCATATATATACACACACAATGAGCTGGAACATCCTAACGCATGTATTTATGCCAGACTTCATGGTGTTGGTCTTGAACTATACTTATTTATACGTATTTTAGATGGACTTTAGCGGATTTGTCTTCGAAGTGAATGCATTGCTTTCAGAGAATTGTACAGAGATAAAAAAAAACAGTTCAACATGTAGCAGCCCTTCGCGACCAATATTATCCATAATAGACCGACACATGAAGATTTCTCCACAACTCTGTATCTGTCGCCTGATGATGCTGCTGCTTGTTGTAATTACTGCCGAAATGTCACGGTTACTCGAATTGTAAATGTGTGTAGTGGGTTTACGCTCCAACAAACGAGCAGTGACCGCTGTACCAGTAACGTTTTGTTTACATGACTAAACCTGACTGATTGGCTGTGTCGGGTGGTGCTGGCGGGCTTAACGGCATGAATCAACACTCCGATATTTGACTTTCCGCAGACTTCTACACAAATCTGATAGATCCCGGACTGGGATCGCTGCAGATGAACTTCGGGAAGGGGAAAGTGCTCATAAAGCATGGGAACATCGTCAAGGAGGACACCGAGGCCATCATGAACGTGACCAACAGCTCGTGCAGCATCAAAACGGGTACTACGGACGGAAACATGTTCACGTAGCGCATCGCGACGCGTCAATTTCAATTGGCGATGACATCAAGACACACAACCTTTTAGTTCCACACTGTATATAGCCAACCATGCTAATCGGAGGTGCAGTGTTGAGTCTATGGGCAGTGTTGAGTCTATGGGCAATGTTTAGTCTATGGACAGTGTTGAGTCTACATACAGTGCTGAGTCTATGGAGAGTGTTGAGTCTACAGGCAGTGTGTATGTTGAACCTCTGTCGCACCGTATGTAGCCAACTATACTAATCGGAGGTGCGGGGGAAGGACAACAAACTAAACACATAAAAGCAGTTGAACACGTAGGTTTTCGCGACCAATATCCATAATAGAGGTTTTTGGGTTAGATGCCGTAAATATATATATGTGTCGTTAAAACCCGCCACCGTCCGACACAGCCAACTAGTAAGGGTTGTCACATAAACAGAACATGCCAATTCGTCACGATTACAGCATACCGGTGTGTTGGAGAGCCAAGCCCCAACATTTACAATTTGAGTACGATGTTTCGCCAGTAATTACAACTAGCTTCATCAGGCGACAGCCAGATTTTTGGAGAAGTCTTACTTTTCGTTACGCCTCTATATAAATATTGTAAATGTTGTGGCTTGGCTCTCCAACACACCGGTGTGCTGTACCGGTGACGAATTGGCACGTTCTGTTTAGGTGACAACCCTTACTAGTTGGCTGTGTCGGGTGGTGGCGCTTTTTAACGACACATTTATATATTTACGCGATATAACAAAAAAAAACCTCTTATGCACATAAAAGCAGATGTAAAGAAGTGAGTTTGTCAATCTAGAAGATGATGTAAACGTGGCTTCCGAATTTCTGAACAAAAAGCGTTCCAGTTGGCCGCAGAAGCGCATCTGAACGTGCACGATGCAGTGACCGTCTTTGTTTGATGGCCATTCAACATTTTCTGCTCTTGAGAGGATGAGCGGAGTTCATGTGATGGTGGTTTATGCTCCTTCACCAGAACAGCAGCGAGATAATTGTGGTTCGTTTGTGGCGAGCGACTTTGTAATGAGTGCGACCTCGAAATGTGGCATTCGCTCGGCGCCCAGAAGCCAATGCAGCTTGGGAGAGCCGATCTCCACTCCGAAAATGACCCAATTTTTTTCCCATAAAATGCACAACTTCCAAGATGTGCATCGATTGGAATGCAAAAACAAGTAAAACAACCAGTATTTGGATAGCAGAACGAGGTAAGAGTCCTACGTGGGTTACAATGGCCTTTTTAATCCTTGTGTTCGCCGCAAACTATAACATTCTAAATTATTTTTATTTTACCGGGTAAAGCCCACTGAGCTATATAAGAGCACGGCCCTAGGCTAGCTGCTGCCAGCGACTGGCAGCGCCTGAGGGAGAACCACACAAAAAGCGTCCCCACCCCAAAACCCCGAGGGCAAGATCTAGGCTGGGAAAATATTTTTGCCCCTATCTTCCGTTTAATTGTTTTGTAAGCGTATTCGTTTTTAAAGAGGCATCATTTTTCGGTTTGTCCGTCCGTCCATCCGTGTGTCCAACCGACCTTTCCGAGATCAGGTAAAATAGAGACGCGCGACATTTTCAACATAGATTTGTGTGCGACAGCTAAACGATATATGTCCGATTTCAAATGAAAATGCGTTTAAAATGTCAATTACAATTTTTATGATTACAAATCCAAACATCACCCATTACGCTATCCTGCTTTAACTGCCATTACCACCAAGCCGCGATTTGACTGCATTTATTTTCGCGGTAAATTTTAAAGATTTGTTGTCAATACATTCTCGGAAATGTTGAGAAATGTAGTATAATTCATATTCCCTCCATACGCGTACGGGGTTTGAACTAATGACATCTTCGTTATTTTATTTTGTATTTTTATCACTCGAATTTGGTGCCCCTCCCCCCCCCCACTTAACTTGTCACCCTGGGCAACGGGCTGCCCCTGTCTGTACTTGAGCTCTTTCAATAGTGACCTGGCTGTCACAAACGATAGCTCAACATAAGCGGTTTATCGTCGTCGTGTGGACATTTGAACCTTATAGCGGGACCCCGGGGTCCCATTAGCCCCGGCTCTTGCATAAACTGCGTTGCGACGTCATTTTATGTCTGTTGAAGGCGAAAGATATGGCACGTTATTCCTCTCAACGATCTCTACACGATGCGCTAATCAAAGTTTAAAATTTTTGTTTATGATTACGGCAATGTTGGCAACGACGAATGCTTGGTGAAGAACGAGAGGATTGATTTCTGGTGGGTCGCGGCGTTTATGTGCGCGGTGGGACGGAGTCGCCAAAAATAAATGAATGAATTACGATTTTGACTTCCGTTTATTCGGGACCCCGGGGTCCCGCCATAAGGTTAATTTATAGTGGCAGGTAAATGCTCCGAACGCGTGACGTCGATCCTAAACCTCGGTACGGAAAACCCACGGGGAGAGAGACACCGCAAACTATGTCATCAGCCATAAGCAGTTGCAAATTGGCGCTGTAATAATAATACGTCCATTTCATAGAACGTCATTCATGCTAATTGCATCCCATAATGCTGTAGAGTAATTATACATGAGGATCAAGTCCGATATACAGCCACCACTGCTCAGCAGATGAAAAGCACCTCTATACAACTCCCGAGCAAAATTACAAATGCATCAATAAATTTAAGAAGTGGCACCAAAGCAAAAAAAAGACACAAACAGCAAACAAGTTATCAGAACAAAGACGCCATCATTACGTCCTGTAACAGGACACAATTAATCCACGACAAAATGAATGGTAAATTACGTTGGATACGGCCCTTATATATGAATTCAACTATTTTTTTACATACCAGGTAAGGCCCGCTGAGTTATATGTACAGTGAGGGAAAAAAAGTATTTGATCCCGTGCTGATTTTGTACGTTTGCCCACTGACAAAGAAATTATCAATTCTAGATTTGAAGCTTTCGTGACTGCAAGGATTCATACTCTTTGATTTTTTCGGTAAAGTCACGTAGGTAAAATAAAATAAAAGGAAACAACTAAATTAAATCACGACGTTTCGGAGGCAACACAAGCTTCCGTCTTCAGGTGGAACAGTCACAGCAGAATATCTGTGTCAAGATATTTTGCTGTGACTGTTCCAACTGAAGATGGAAACGTCGTGATTTAATTTAGTTTTCCTTTATTTATTTTATTTAATTTAGTTGTTTTATTTTACCTACGTGACTTTATCGAAAAAAACAAAGAGTAAAGAAATGAACAGTCTATAATTTTATTGGTAGTTTTATTTGAACAGTGAGAGACAGAATAACAACAAAAAAATCCAGAAAAACGCATGTCAGAAATGTTATAAATTGATTTGCATTTTAATGAGGGAAATAAGTATTTGACCCCCTCTCAATCAGAAAGATTTCTGGCTCCCAGGTGTCTTTTATACAGGTAACAAGCTGAGATTAGGAGCACACTCTTAAAGGGAGTGCTCCTAATCTCAGCTTGTTACCTGTATAAAAGACACCTGTCCACAGAAGCAATCAATCAATCAGATTCCAAACTCTCCACCTTGGCCAAGACCATAGAGCTCTCCAAGGATGTCAGGGACAAGATTGTAGACCTACACAAGGCTGGAATGGGCTACAAGACCATTGCCATGCAGCTTGGTGAGAAGGTGACAACAGTTGGTGCGATTATTTGCAAATGGAAGAAACATAAAAGAACTGTCAATCTTCCTCGGCCTGGGGCTCCATGCAAGATCTCACCTCGTGGAGTTGCAATGATCATGAGAACGGTGAGGAATCAGCCCAGAACTATACGGGAGGATCTTGTCAATGATCTCAAGGCAGCTGGGACCATAGCCACCAAGAAAACAACTGGTAACACACTACGCCGTGAAGGACTGAAATCCTGCAGCGCCCGCAAGGTCCCCCTGCTCAAGAAAGCACATATACATGCCCGTCTGAAGTTTGCCAATGAACATTTGAATTATTCAGAGGACAACTGGGTCAAAGTATTGTGGTCAGATGAGACCAAAATGGAGCTCTTTGGCATTAATTCAACTCGCCTTGTTTGGAGAAGGAGGAATGCTGCCTATGACCCCAAGAACACCATCCCCACCGTCAAACATGGAGGTGGAAACATTATGCTTTGGGGGTATTTTTCTGCTAAGGGAACAGGACAACTTCACCGCATCAAAGGGACGATGAACGGGGCCATGTACCGTCAAATCTTGGGTGAGAACCTCCTTCCCTCAGCCAGGGCATTGCAAATGGGTCGTGGATGGGTATTCCAGCATGGCAATGACCCAAAACACACGGCCAAGGCAACAAGAAGAAGCACATTAAGGTCCTGGAGTGGCCTAGCCAGTCTCCAAACCTTAATCCCATAGAAAATCTGTGGAGGGAGCTGAAGGTTCGAGTTGCCAAACGTCAGCCTCGAAACCTTAATGACTTGGAGAAGATCTGCAAAGAGGAGTGGGACAAAATCCCTCCTGAGATATGTGCAAACCTGGTGGCCAACTACAAGAAACGTCTGACCTCTGTGATTGCCAACAAGGGTTTTGCCACCAAGTACTAAGTCATGTTTTGCAGAGGGGTCAAATACTTTTTTCCCTCATTAACATGCAAATCAATTTATAACATTTTTGACATGCGTTTTTCCGGATTTTTTTGTTGTTATTCTGTCTCTCACTGTTCAAATAAACCTACCATTAAAGTTATAGACTGATCATTTCTTTGTCAGTGGGCAAACGTACAAAATCAGCAGGGGATCAAATACTTTTTTTCCTCACTGTATATACTAGCTTTACTACCCGGCTTCGCCCGGGACTTGGATTCACCACGCCCGCCCGCCGATGTTTCCCCAGTTGCGATATTCACATACCACACCAGTTACTCGTTTGAGGCTGAGTCGACCCAGAGGAGGCCCAGGACCGGTTAAAATATTCATTACCGGTGGTGGCCATGAGCGGGAATCGAACTCGGGTCGCCGGGTTCGTAGCGCAGCGCGCTAACCGCTACACTACAATGCGTTACGCTTTCACATGCGAGGGTCACGTGACAGATTTGACGTCACAGCTCACCTGCCGTGCAAAAAGTATATGCATTATTGAGCTCCCCCCCCCCCCCCCCGAAAAAAAGTGTATTTTTATCATTTTTACATGGTGTACAGTCTGGAAAGTACCCACATGGCAAATTTCAAGTTTGGTGCATGTCGGGAAGTACGCTAAACATTTTGAACAGACACACAATCACAGCTTTGCCTTTTATATATATAGAGATATGTGGGTCTTTTTTTTCAGAAGTAACCTGGCTATCGCAAATGATAGCCGAAAGGAAGTGGCGTATGATGGTCACGTGTATAGCAGCAGCCAAATACCCGCAGGTGGTTCATCGTTAATTTTATCGGTAACCAACCACGGATGGATTATCTGTTGAGTTACAGACAGCAGCAGACAGCAGCCCCATGCAGCAGACAGCAGCAGCGGGCAGCAGCAGACAGCAGCAGACAGTAGCAGACAGCAGGAGCAGACAGCAGCAGACAGCACTAACAGCAGCAGACAGCAGGAGCAGACAGCAGGAGCAGACAGCAGCAGATAGCACTAGCAGCAGACAGCAGTAGCAGCAACACGCAGCACAGCAGCAGATGCCTCCTCTTGAGGAGACAATGAATACAGAGACAGAATTAATGATAAGATTGCGTAATTGTTTCAGGCCCATATGTGGAGCAATTGGGCAGTGACTTTGGCCAATTAAGTATTTGTTTTTTCTAAATGAAGAATACTGGAATGGGAATCTCCTCGATTTCCCTGAGCATCAACATAATATTCAAATCTACATTATAATATTATTCATTTAATTTTACATAGCATAGAGTGCGAAATAAATTCACCATACGTCAACATATAGTATGTTCTAATGCATCTCAGAACGCTGTACATTAATTATATGCCAACCAATTAATATGCAACACCGTGCTGGTGAGATGTTACCTATCTCGCCTGGTATGCAGGAGGTCGTGGCTTTTATGCCAACCCTCATGCCTGCTGTATGTTTGGAGTCTGCATGTCTTTCTCTCTCTCTCCCCGTGGTCGCGTGGATAGTAGTCTCTCCACATTTCAAATCAACATCACCACTTGCTTAGAGTATTTGCATACCTATCATACCATACGGTTGACCCGTATTCTTGTACAAGGAAATTGAGTTTTCAGGTCCACACAGTGTAAGCCGTTTCCATGTGGGCAATTTTTTCTTCTATTTTTTTGTATTTCTCCCTTGTGATGGGACTTTTCAGGATGAACGTTGAGATTTATAAGGCCACGGGGTGACCAATACGGTCTGAATTAGTCTGTAATAAGGTAGGCATTGATAAGTGGTTGATAGGTATGTATTTGGCTCCTATAAATGTCCACATGATAAGCCACTTCGTTGAGCTATAATTCGCTATAGCGAGGTCGCTTCTGACAAAGAGCTGTGTAGCTCAGTGGGGGTCCTTGCCTGGTGAAATTAACAAAAAAGTTTAGTTTTAGTTAATCTGATTTGTGAGGGAGTATCCCTGAGCCTGGATTCGTACCTCCAAAGTCACGAAGGGGCATATCGTGTTGCCTTTTGTGACAATGTTGTAAATCTCTTCATTTCTTTGATCTTTCCCCTTACCACTCTCTTCCGATATCGTGAAGGCCGCGTGGCGTCGTCGGTGCTGCTGCTGCTGCTGTTGGCGTTCCCGTAACGTCGCGAGCTTTCACTCTACAAAATGGGACCTTTTTGCCATTATCAAAGTATGAAAAAATAAGAATAGGTGTTTACCATTTCTGGCATTAACACAGGATTTAAAACAGGATTTATTGCCAGAAAGGGTAAAACCTATTCTTTTTTCATACTTTGATACTGGCAAAACGGTCCCATTTTGTAGCTGCTCAACCCGATCTATAAATGCTCGCTTTTTGCCATTCTCTGGTTTGACACTGGTGAAACTAGGCCCTAAAGAAGTCTGTCTCTGGTGTAGGCCAATCCGTTTCAAAGACAATGTACACATTATTATCAGAGCATGATTTTTTGCATGTTCACGACAAGTACTGTGTGTAGTTAATGCAGTACTTGATTCCTTGCAAAAAGGTTTCTATTTGGTTTAACACATAGGCTTTCATGACCAATTTCATCCATAACATAGGTTTTATTTTTGGGTTAGATCGCCACCACCTGACACAGCTAATTAGTGATCTGGCTGTCGCCTGATGAAGCTAGTTGTATTTACTGGTGAAACGTTGTACTCAGATTATACATGTTGTGGATTTGCTCTCCTACACACCGGTGTGCTGTACTAGTAACGAATTAGCATGTTCTGTTTGCGTAACAAACCTTACTAATTTGCTGTGTCGGCTGGTGGCGGGTTTAGCGACATGTTTATATTTATGCGAACTAACCCCCCAAAAAATGTATATTATCTATTTGGTATTTGAACATCTTAACACCTCCTGTTGTATTGCCAGGAAGGGCAAAACACCTAGTTTTATTTTTTCATAGCTTTCACTCTGTTTGGGACTTCACTCTTTCAGGTGTCTGCGGCGAAATTCTGAAGGCGGCTGGAGAGAGAGTACGGGAAGAGTTTTTGCGAAAATGTAAGCGATCATTATTGCACCGCATCACTCTGCCACGCATTCGTTTGAATTCGTTTTCAAGTTCAAATTGTGTTCACGGGGCGTGCGTCTGTGCATGTGTGCGTGTTGGGAGCCTCCAAAGTGGGGAGCAGCTTTGTAGCGGTTAGCACGCTGCGCTACGAACCCGGCGACCTGAGTTCGATTCCCGCTCACGGCCAACTGCCGGTGACAATTATCTGAACCGGTCCTGGGATTCCTCTCCTATGTCGACTCAGCCTCAAATGAGTACCTGGTGCAGTGTGTAAACATCGCCACTGGGGAGACAAAGGCGGTCGGGCGTGGTGTTGGCCACCCACTCCCTCGTGTGCCGTTTCTGGCCTTTATAGGTGCTCGCTAACAGCACTTGCCCCAACAGTCTGTTGAAGGTTATACGGGGGGTTTTATCTTTGTGGGGAGCCTCCAACTGCCCAGTAGCGTCCTTCATGAGCATCCTCCATAGACTTGTCAAGGACGCTGCTACTGGGCAGTTGGAGGCAGTCGTCCTCCAGTAACAACGGAGGGCAGAGAAGCGATGTTCACAACAACGAGCAGAGCGCCGGGTGGCCAAAATGCAGCAAGTTGACACAGTAGGGGGTACAGCTGGTGCATCTACCGGTCATCTCAGTCAATCAACCCAGGGCACCTGGGTCTGTCCCGAGACCTCCTGTCAGCGATCCTTCGACACTTCACGTGGCCTCAAAGTGCACCTGGCCTGGCGCAGGCGCCGTGGTGACGTCACCGTCATTGAGTGGCAAATGTCGGGTATTGGTATTATTGGTATTGGTAAGCGTTTGCGCAGTGGTTAGCACTACGCTGTACTACGAGTCCGGCAACCCGAGTTCGATTCCTGATCATGGTGAACAACAGTGACCGATAGCTGAACCGGTCCTGGGCCTCCCTTAGGTAGACTCGGCCTCAAATGAGTACCTGATGCGCCCCCACCACCCCCTCGCATAGTCACTTTAAGATGTCTTCTTGTTCATGTTTTTGTTTATTGTTTGTTGCGGTTGCACCCGATTCAAGAGCCGAATGGCTCACAGGGCTATACCAAATAAATGAAACTGAAACCCAGCGCGACGGGGCGGCCTTCATAGGCGCTGCTGCTCGTTAACAGAACTTGTATGTGCGTGCGATTTTATTCAGGTCAGGGAGCCTATAACGGGGTGGTCGTGACCGACTCTGGAGATTTGCATTTGAAAAAAATCATCCACCTTATTTTTGCCAAGGATCTCTTCACCAAGCAAGTCTACAATGCATTGGTTGTGTGTGAAGACGTCCAACTGAAGTCCATTGCTCTGCCAGCTGTTGGAACAGGTGAATGCTATCTATTATTGTAGTGTATCGTAGTGTAGTGTATCATAGTGTAGTGTATAGTAGTGTAGTGTATCGTAGTGTAGTGTATAGTGTAGCGTATAGTATAGTGTGTCGTGTATAGAACCAATATCATCCATAAGAGAGGTTTTTGGGTTAGAGTGCGTAAATGTATAAATGTGTCGTTAAAACCTGCCACCACCTGACACAGCCAACTAGTAAGGGTTGTCACATAAACAGAACATGCCAATTCATCACGAGTACAGCGCACCGGTGTGTTGGAGAGCCAAGCTACAACATTTACAATTTGAGTACGATGTTTCGCCAGTAATTACAACAAGCTTCATCAAGCGACAGCCAGATTTTGGAGAAGTCTTACTGTTTCGTTACACCTCTAGATAAAGATTGTAAATGTTGTGGCTTGGCTCTCCAACACATTTACAATTGTTGTGGCTTGGCTCTCCAACACACCGGTGTGCTGTACTAGTGTGGCTTGGCTCTCCAACATACCGGTGTGCTGTACGTGTGACGAATTGCCATGTTCTGTTTACATGACAATCCTTACTAGTTGGCTGTGTCAATTGGTGGCAGGTTTTAATGGCACATTTATATATTTACGCGATCTAACCCAAAAACCTCTATTATAGAGTATAGTACTCAGTTTAACACAGAGGCTTTCGCAACCAATATTATTCATAATAAATGTTTTTGGGTTAGATCGCTTCAGTGTAAATGTGTCGTATTCCTCCACCACCCGACACCGCCAGTAAGGGTTGTCACGTAAACAACGCGCCAATTACTTACCCACTTCAGCCCACCGGTGTATTGGAGAGTAAATGCACAACCTTTACAATTTGATTAGTACGACGTATCACTGGTAATTACATCCAGCATCGTCGGGCGATTTGGCAGAATAGTCTTAAATAAAGTAAGATGACATCATCACTGTGAATTAATCAGTGTAGTATATAGTAGTGTATGGTAGTGTAGTGTATAGTGCAGGGCATGGTAATGTAGTGTATAGTGTAGTGTAGTATACAGTAGTGTATTGTAGTGTATCGTAGTGTAGTATATGTAGTGTAGTGTATAGTAGTGTATAGTGTAGTTATTTAGTATAGAGTAGTGTATATTCTAGATTTAAAGCTTTCGTGACTGCAAGGATCCATACTCTTTGGTTCTATTCGGTAAAGTCACGTAACAAACAACAACAAATAAAAAATTCACGACGTTTCGGCCTTCATCAGGTGAAGGAACCGTGCTGTCATGAGGACAGCGTTGGAATGAAAACAGCCAAGCCCAGGTCGCGTCCTTTAAGCTGTGTGGGAGGAAGCAAAGCGCTTGACAAAGGAATTAGTATAGAAATGAGCACGATATACGTAGGAGGTGTATTGGCCATGATGGACCAGGAGCGGGTGGGGACCATAACGGACCAGCATCGGGGGGGGGGGGAGTGGAGTGAGTGGAGTGAGTGAGTGGAGTGAGTGAGTGAGTGGAGTGAGTGGAGTGAGTAGAGTGGGTGAAGGGGACAAGACTGTCCAGAGGACAGCGCTGGAGTGCACACAGTCAAGCTCAGACCGCGACCTCTAAGCTGTGTGAGAAGAAGCCGAGCGCCCTGACAATGGAATTAGCATAAAAGTTAGCATTTCATTGGCGCACTTAGAAAGAAGGATGATGTACTGGGGGGGGAGCATGTGCAGACAGGCGAGGGGGAGAGGGGGGAGCCCACATATTGATGGTGTGAAAAGGGAATTTAAGCAGCTGCAAAAGTTTGGGATACCACTGCTTAAAAAATATACTGTACCATTGAAAATTAGCTTAATGTTTGGTTTGATTCAGAACATCTTTCCAATGGTTGCTTAATTGATGGACCAGGAGCGGGTGGGGACCATGACTCACTCACTTCACTCACTCCACTCACTCACTCCACTCACTCACTCTACTCCCCCCCCCCCCCCCCGCTGTTGGTCCGTCATGGTCCCCACCCAGTGGTATCCCAAACTTTTGCAGCTGCTTAAATTCCCTTTTCACACCATCAATATGTGGGCTCCCCCCTCTCCCCCTCGCCTGTCTGCACATGCTCCCCCCCCCAGTACATCGTCCTTCTTTCTAAGTCCGCCAATGAAATGCTAACTTTTATGCTAATTCCTTTGTCAGGGCGCTCGGCTTCTTCTCACACAGCTTAGAGGTCGCGGCCTGAGCTTGACTGTGTGGACTCCAGCGCTGCCCTCTGGACAGTCTTGTCCCCTTCACTCACTCTACTCACCCCACTCACTCACTCACTCCACTCACTCACTCACTCCACTCACTCACTCCACTCACTCACTCCATTCACTCACTCCACTCACTCACTCCACCCACTCACTCCGCTCACTCACTCCACTCACTCACTCCACTCACTCCACTAACTCCACTCACTCACTCACTCCACTCACTCACTCCACTCACTCACTCACTCCACTCACTCACTCACTCCACTCACTCACTCCACTCACTCACTCCACTCACTCCACTAACTCCACTCACTCACTCCACTCACTCACTCACTCCACTCACTCACTCCATTCACTCACTCCACTCACTCACTCCACTCACTCACTCACTCCACTCACTCACTCCACTCACTCACTCCACTAACTCCACTCACTCACTCACTCCACTCACTCCACTCACTCCACTCACTCACTCCACTCACTCACTCCACTCACTCCACTCACTCCACTCACTCACTCCACTCACTCACTCCACTCACTCTACTCACTCACTCCACTCACTCCACTCACTCCACTCACTCACTCCACTCACTCCACTCACTCACTCCACTCACTCCACTCCACTCACTCTACTCCCCCCCCCCCTGCTGCTGGTCCGTTATGGTCCCCACCCGCTCCTGGTCCATCATGGCCCATACACCTCCTACGTATATCGTGCTCATTTCTATACTAATTCCTTTGTCAAGCGCTTTGCTTCCTCCCACACAGCTTAAAGGACGCGACCTGGGCTTGGCTGTTTTCACTCCAACGCTGTCCTCATGACAGCACGGTTCCTTCACCTGATGAAGGCCACTTGTGTTGTGGCCGAAACGTCGTGAATTTTTCATTTTGTTGTTGTTGTTTGTTACGTGACTTTACCGAATAGAACCAAAGAGTATAGAGTAGTGTATAGTGGAGTGCTTAGTGTAGTGTAAAGTGTAGTCTATAGTGTGTATTTTAGTGTATAGTGTTGTATGTACAGTATATATGTTGAACTTCTTTGGCACTGGACGTAGCCAACCGCACTAATCGGAGTTGAGGGGGAATGGTAAACACAGAAAGCAGTTCTAAGGAAATTAGTTTTCAATCTAGATCAAAACAATTACCAGTGGAACAGAATACAAAAACATCCCCCTCCTATAGCCTTCAGCAGGCTGTCGGGGCAAGCGCCATGAGTTAGTTGTGCTGTAACAGGATAAAATTAATCCGCGGCAGAATGAGTGATAAATTATGTTAATGTGGAAGGGATGCCAATCAGTGTCAAGGGGTGGCCTACTAATGTAGGGATTTTAGATCCACAAATCGTCTCTTTAGATCCAGAAATAATGTGACAGGAATCACCATGCTTGATCCACGCTTGATCCAGGTTGATTCCCATTTATTCCAGCATTGAATTGTTAAAAAACACGTCGATTCCCCGTTCCAGTATTCCTTTTATGAGCAAAGCGACACCCCACTACTCCATATATGGGTTTCCTGCATTAACATAATTTATCATTCATACTTTTGATTTAAAGCTTTCGTGACTGCAGTAATTCATATTCTTAGTCTTTTCGGTAAAGTCACGTTGAAGGGAAACAACAAAATAATAAAATATATATTATCGAAAAAACTAAGAATATAATATATCATTCATACTGTTACGGATTCATTTTATCCTGTTAGAGCACCTCTAATTTGTCGTAAAAGCCCCTTGAAGTAAGGCGCTGTGCAAATCTACACTGGGCAAGACGAGGCATGAGCGCGTCTGTCGCTTGTTGACCTGCGTTCACGTTGTTGTTGTTGTCCAGGCGCGGGCGGCTTAAACCCGCATGAATCAGCGACCATCATCCTGGACGCCATCGCGGAGTTTTACGTCCAGAAGAAGCCCAAAAGTCTCATGGAAGTGAGAGTTGTGGTGTTCATGGAGGAGATGCTGCAGGACTTCCATCGGGAGCTACTCAACAGACAGTCCAAACCCGCACCATTGCAAAAGGGAATTATGTCCACTGTGACAAGTACGTAACCATGATGTATTATTGTTTTTTATATATTATATATTTAACATTGCTGATCATGAAAGGACTAGACGCAGTTATGAGAATAATCGTCAACAGACAAGCAATGGAAGTCAGGAGGACCACCATTGGATCTTTGTAGGCAACGGTGTACATAGGAATCCTGTGTCATCACTAAGTGTGTTTTGTTTAGCCTCAATTAATATCGCTAAAGTTTTAGGTGTGAATGTAATTTCACAACATAACTGGTATTGTTTTTGTTTAGCAGAACAGTAAAGCCTATCTGTGCGTGGGCGTTACGTCTTTGCAGAATTCGTGACAGCAGAAACTTCGTTCCAAGGGGAACAATTGACTTGGGTTCCTGGTACGAGTGAACATAGGGGGAAAATGGTAACTGCTTAATAACAATGACTACAACACACGATGCGTTATAAAGAACGGTGTGTTTTTAAATGACCTTTGATGATGGCGGGAGTGATGATGATTTGACGACGATGGATGAGGTGGTTGGTGATTGTGGTGATGGTGAGGAATGCAGGAGGATGACTCCTCGGGAGATGCAGGCTTTTGATAACAATGCCACACAGTTGTCATCAGTTTTGCACTCTGGCGGACTGCTCGCCACAACACTTTTCCTGATTGCAATCACCTTTTTAACGGACCTCACATTCGACTCGTTTATACCAAGACGTATAAACGAGTTGACTATGTGTACTGTATATAAAGTAAAAAATCCACAGTAGCGAGTTCGGAACGGCATTAATGATTGACTGAGGACTAAGCGGGCAGCTGAGATGGCGTGCCTAATCTTCGCAGACCGTTTCAAATGTAACAACATTCTGGGCATACCTCCCCGGTATCGGTGGTCTGGTGCTACGTACACTCGAGGAATACCGGAGTCGCGAAGAGCGAACTGGTACACAATTTAGTAACTCGCGAATACGCGAAAACTCGCGAATTAAGAACCTACACATTTTGTGGAATGCTTGAAGAAGATATTCTCAGCTCATTGGGCTTTACTCAGGAAGTGAACATTATATTGATTCTGAGAACTCAGGAGACCAGGATAGGTCTCGTTTGCAAAGAGTGGCCTGGAACGACGCCTCGATGTTACGGTCACCCTGCTTTACATCATAAGGGTGGAGTGCATGCCAAATAGAGCACACTGTGTCTCCGCAGCTGCTCGCAATAAGATAGACATCAGTGAAATGCTGCTTGACATCGATGGTTATTTAAGTCTTTTTATGCACAGGCATTCTTCCGATAGCTCTCAGGAGGTGTTGTTGGCGGTATATGGAGCACTGTGCAAAACAGTGCTATAGGAGGTCCTAATAACACAGTTGCTATGGAGATGCGTTATCTATGGCGCAATAGCAAACAGTGCTATAGGAGGTCACTATACCATGGTTCCAATGGAGATGCGTTACCCACACCACAATAGGGAACAGCGCTATAGGAGGTCACTGTAACTTGGTTACTATGGAGATGCATTACCCACAGCACAACCCGGAAACAGTGCTATAGGGGTCACTATAACATCGTTCCTATGGAGATGCGTTACTGACAACGCTATAGGTAGCAGCACTATAGGAGGTCACTATACCATGGTTCTAATGGATATGCATACCCACAGCGCTGTAGGAAACAGCGCTATAGGAGGTCAATATAATATCGTTCCAATGGAGATGCATTACCCACAGCACAATAGGGAACAGCGCTCTAGGAGGTCACTATAACATGGTTCCAATGGAGATGCGTTACCGACAGTGCTATAAGAAACAGCGCTATAGGAGGGCACTATAACACGGTTGCAATGGAGATGCATTACCCTCAGCGCAACAGGAAACAGTGCTATAGGAGGTCAATATAACAAGAATCCTATAGAAATGCGTTACCCACAGTGCTATACGAGGTCACTATAACATGGTTCCAATGGAGATGCGTACCCACAGCATAATAGGAAATAGCGCTACAGGAATGGAACGGCACGCTCGGTGCTTTGTTCCAGAATGGAGCGGCACACTCGGCGCTCCATTCTGGATGTTCCCGTGGCAGCCAGCGCGGAGTTGCAGATTGTTTGGGGCTGTGCTCGGGAAGGTTTCGTCCACCTGAGTGTCGTCGTCGGGTGAACGCTCAATCCTAGGCTGTCCTAAGTGTGGCCCTTCCTGCGGAATGGAGTTGAGGAGTGTTGAGTGTGCCCGAAGATTGGAGGGAGATGCGGTGTTGCAGGTAGAGATGAGGCCAAGCAAAGCAGTGCTGCCAAATGAAGAAAAACTAAGAAATCAAGACAAGAATGCCATTGCATCTCACACTGCTACATATTTACCAGGCCTCGAATCTATTTGCCATTCCTTTACAGAATTGTACACTGATATATAGGGCGTTGAGGTGGCTCGGAGATGTTAACTACCTTGCCCAGTATACGGGAGGTTGTGGGTTTGATCCTGACCCTGAAGCTTGAATATTTGGAATTTGTGTCTCTCTTTCTCCCCGCGGTCACGGCGATATTTTTTCTCTGGGTGCTCCGGTTTTTCTCTCCACACCATTGCGCTTTTAGAGTATTTGACTGCCGCTATAAATTGCCACTTGATAAGCCACTTCGCTGAGCTATCATTTACGATAGCCAGGTCGCTTCTGAAAAATAGCTACTTAGCTCAGTAGTGGGGGCCTTACGCCTGGTTAAAGAAAAAAATAATTTCATAATATAATTGTTTGAATTGCCACTTACTGCTGTTGCATGATCCGCAGGAAATTTTCAGTACATGACATCGCTGATGTCCGGGGGGGGCAGCGAAGCCCAACGGGAAATTCAGCCAGTGTCATTTGAGATCGAGCCAGTGCACGTGCAGGTGTACTCTGCCACACTGGAGAACGTGGAGAACGTGTTCATGGAGATTGAAAAGAAAATGACGACCGAGGAGAGCAAGCTGGAGTTGAGGGACGCCATCATCGGGGAGATTTACGCCAAGGCGGGGGACGAGATCAACGCGCTACAGAAGAAGCACCAGGTCGTGATCCGGGCGGTCGCGGGCGACTGCTTGAAAATCCACGGCAACATCACGGACGTGAGCCAAGTGGCGCTGGAGCTGCAGGCGATGATCAACAAGGCGAGGGAGAGGAGGCAGCACGCCGAGGAGGAAGATAAGCTAGCGGAGGCCGTGACGTGGATGTTCCTTGGCGAGGACGAGGAGTTCACCCCCTTCTCGAAAGCCGACAATGTCGCTCTGGAGAAGGCCCTGCGCAGGGACGAGCGGCGCGTTTCCATTCGAGGCCAAGAGGTGCTCGTCGACTTCAGCAGAATGAATGTGACCTTTGAACGTGGGAAGACGTTCAGGGTTAAGCGGGTGACGCCTGCAGGCAAGTCGGTGAAATTGCGTGGAAGTTGAGCGTGTGTACCGCTACGAAATTACCGTCGTCGTTGTCAATTGTATTACGCTCACGATTGTCATTCATATGAGACGCTTTTGAAGTGCATCTACGTCCTTCGCAAGGCATCACTGTGCATTTCGCATTCACACTCGACAAGCTATGAACCATAATTCCAGCCAGACATTAACTCGCAGTCATTAAAAATGTTATCTTCGGGGCTAGATCGCGTGAGTATAAATGTGTCGTTAAAACCTCCACCACCCGACACGGCCAATCAGTAGGATTTGGTCACGTAAAAAAATGCGCCAATCAATTAGTGACCAGTTCAGTAACCCACCGGTTGTGTGTTGGAGAGTAAACGCACTACAACATTTATAATTGGAGTAGTCGTGATGTTCTGCTGGTGATTACCACTACCACCTTTATGAAAGAGCATGTTTGTTTGCATGTTCACCACAGCTAACATGTGTGGTTAACGCAGACTTTCTTCCTATCAAAATGTTTCTATTTGGTGTTTTAATATCTTGACACAACTGTTTTATTGCCAGAAAGGGTACTGGCCAGGAAGTCCCCGCTCACCCTCACGACGCTCACCCACACGACGCTCACCCACACGACGCTCACCCTCTCGACGCTCACCCTCACGACGCTCACCCTCTCGACGCTCACCCTCACGACGCTCACCCTCACGACGCTCACCCTCACGAGGGTCACCCTCACGACGCTCACCCTCACGAGGCTCACCCACACGACGCTCACCCTCACGACGCTCACGCTCACCCTCACGACGCTCACCCACACGACGCTCACCCTCTCGACGCTCACCCTCACGACGCTCACCCTCTCGACGCTCACCCTCACGACGCTCACCCTCACGACGCTCACCCTCACGAGGGTCACCCTCACGAGGGTCACCCTCACGACGCTCACCCTCACGAGGCTCACCCACACGACGCTCACCCTCACGAGGTTCACCCACACGACGCTCACCCTCACAACACGGAGCGCATTCCGTTACAACGATCTGACGAACCTCTACTTTAAAATCTTATCGCTACCTCATTATTTACGGGGGAATTGTTGTTTTGCTTCACGCGGCACTGTTCTCCAACGCATTTGCTGTACGCTAAACTTATTTCGCACCATGCGTAGCCAACCGCGCTAATCTGAGGTGCTGCTCCTGCTGCTGTACTGTATGTATGTGTGTATATTGAACCAATTTCGCACCATGCGTAGCCAACCCCGCTAAACTGAGCTGATCTTTTATTTGATTTCTGACTAAATGTCACGTTTAAGATTCGTAATAAAACATTTGATTAATTATTTAACCACTACCCAACCCCTATCACTGCCCTTATCTCTGCCCCTATCACTACCCCAACCCCTATCACTACCCCAACCCCTATCACGACCCCTACCCCTATCACTACCACTACCCTATTACTACCCCTATCACGACCCCAACCCCTATCACTCCCTCTATCACTACCCAAACCCATATCACTACCCCAACCCCTATCACTACCTCTATCACTACCCAAACCCATATCACTACCCCAACCCCTGTCACTACTCCTACCCCTATCACTACCTCTATCACTACCCAAACCCATATCACTACCCCAACCCATATCACTACCCCAACCCCTATCACTACCCCTATCACTACCCCTATCTCTACCCCTTTCATTACCCCTATCACTACCCAAACCCCTATCACTACCACAACCCCGATCACTACCCCAACCCCTATCACTACCTCTATCACTACCCCACCCATATCACTACCCTAACCCCTGTCACTACCCCTATCACTACCTCTATCACTACCTCTATCACTACCCCAACCCATATCACTACCCCAACCCATATCACTACCCCAACCCATATCACTACCCCAACCCCTATAACTACCCCTATCACTACCCCTATCTCTACCCCTTTCACTACCCCTATCACTACCCCAACCCCTATCACTACCCCAACCCCTATCACTACCCCACCCATATCACTACCCTAACCCCTGTCACTACCCCTACCCCTATCACTACCTCTATCACTACCTCTATCACTACCCCAACCCATATCACTACCCCAACCCCTATCACTACCCCTATCACTACCCCTATCTCTACCCCTTTCACTACCCCTATGACTACCCCAACCCCTATCACTACCACAACCCCTATCACTACCCCAACCCCTGTCACTACCCCAACCCCTGTCACTACCCCAACCCCTATCACTACCCCAACCCCTATCACTACCCCAACCCCTATCACTACCCCAACCCCTATCACTACCCCTATCACTATCACTACCCCAACCCCTGTCACTACCCCAACCCCTGTCACTACCCCAACCCCTATCACTACCCCAACCCCTATCACTACCCCAACCCCTATCACTACCCCAACCCCAGTCACTACCCCAACCCCTGTCACTACCCCAACCCCTATCACTACCCCAACCCCTATCACTACCACAACCCCTATCACTACCCCAACCCCTGTCACTACCCCAACCCCTGTCACTACCCCAACCCCTATCACTACCCCAACCCTTATCACTACCCCTACCACTATCACTACCCAACCTCTATCACTACCCCTATTACTATCCCTACCCCTATAATTACCCATTCCCCTATCACTATTGCTACCACTATCGCTACCCCTACCCCTATCACTACACACACAGTGAGTCAACTTATTTTAGCTCTGTTTTTTAAACTGCACATTTAAGCTGCACATGCATACAAACAAATAATTCGAATTATTGATCGTCAATTCAAACATCTCGGTGCACAGGCAAGCACGGGCTAAGGCTGTAGAAATGCGTCCCATGCTCTTGTCGTCTCTTTTCAGATGACATTCCTCTTCACTGGGCAGACGAGAACGAGCTGGTGAATCAGCGAGTCCTCATCGAAGTCTTAAAGTGCTCCTCCAAAGCATACCAGCAAATCGAAAAGGAATTCAGAAAGTCCCTGGGAAAAGTTTCGCAACAGCCCGGATTTAAAGTTGTACAGGTAACGCAACACTTAAAAAAAAGTTATTTCATCGTCATTAAAAGGGACCAGCAGTCGGAAGCATGCCCCCTGTCTCGGTTAACATTCGCTCACTTGGGGGGGGGGGAGGAGGGGAGGGGGGGGTCAACACGATATAGTAAAGACACCTCTGGGGGGGAATTGACAACGCAAATCTGACCGGGGAAAGTGGTCTGACAGCGCAACCGCCACGGACTGTAAGTTGTAGTTTTTGTCAAGTCGAGGAGGGGGGCAGAGGGGTAAGGAGAAAGGAGGGGGAGAGGAGGGGGGAGCAGGAGGGGGGAGCAGGAGGGGGGGAGCGGGAGGGAGAGAGGGGGAGGGAGAGAGGGGGAAGGAGAGAGGGGGAAGGAGAGAGGGGGGAGGAGGAGGGGGGAGGAGGAGGGGGGAGGACGAGGGGGGAGGACGAGGGGGGAGGAGGAAGGAGGGAGGAAGGAAGGAGGGGGAGGAGGGAAGAGAGAGGATGGGAGAAGCAGGAGAAGAGAGGGATATTTATCATTCATAATTCCCATGGAACATAATTCCCATGGAACATATTGACACACCTGTTTTAGTACTGCCAGACAGGGTAAAAAAACCTGTTCGTATTTTTCACAATAATTCTCACCTTGATTCGCGTGCCACCTGTTGGAAGCGCACTCATCGGCTTGGATCTGCATCGGATCACGTTCAAATTTCTGGTCATCATTCTACATATGCTTGGTTCTTTCGGTAAACTCACGTAGAAGGGAAACAATAAAATAAAAAATATATAAAACAATAAAATTCTCACGACGTTTCGACTGCAACACACGCAATCATCATTAGGTGTGAAAACCACAGACTGACATCGCCCATAGACTAACACTGCCCATAGACTAACACCACCCATAGACTAACACTGCCCATAGACTAACACTGCCCATAGACTGACATCGCCCATAGACTAACACTGTCCATAGACCAGTGGTTCTTAACCTGGGTTCGATCGAACCCCAGGGGTTCGGTGAGTCGATCTCAGGGGTTCGGCAGAGCCCCCGCCACGGAGGTCCGGACACACTTGAATTATTGTGTAAATTTGTGATGACACACACGGCCCGCTTGGCCATCACTGGCTGCAGATGATCATGCTACACTGCTTGGCCAATCAGCGCTGCGGGGAATTTAGTGCATACTCAGTAGTCAACGTGTGACTGTTGTCGTACGTCGTGTGATTTCTTTAATATTTTATCCATACTAACTATGTCGGGCAAAAGAAGAAAGTGGTCGGACGAATATGTACAACATGGATTCTCATGTATCACGGAACGTGATGGGAGTGAGCGTCCTATCTGCATGATTTGCAACGCCAAGTTGAGCAACTCTAGTCTTGCACCGGCAAAACTAAAGGAACACTTCTTGAAGCTGCATGGAGACGGGGAATACAAGAACACAACACTTGCTGAATTCAGGGTGAAGAGAGCCAGATTCGATGAAAGGGCCACTCTGCCTGCTCTTGGATTTGTACCTGTTAACAAACCGATCCTGACAGCATCGTACGAAGTTGCTTACCTGATCGCAAAGCAGGGCAAGCCACACACCATTGGTGAAACACTTGTGAAACCAGCTGCATTAAAGATGGCGAATCTGATACTCGGAACAGCGGCCGAAGGTAAATTATCCCAAATTCCCCTTTCAAATGACACCGTCAGTGACAGAATAGAAGACATGAGTAAAGACATCTTGGCTCAAGTAGTCGCGGATCTGATTTCAAGCCCGGCAAAATTCAGCCTTCAACTCGACGAAACCACAGACGTTTCTGATCTAAGCCAGCTTGCTGTTTTTGTACGCTATGTGAAAGACGACATGATAAAAGAAGAGTTTTTATTTTGTAAGCCTCTTACAACAACAACGAAGGCAGCCGATGTGAAGAAGCTTGTGGATGACTTCTTCAGAGACAACAATCTTTCATGGGATATGGTTTCTGCAGTTTGTACGGACGGAGCTCCAGTCATGCTGGGAAGAAAGTCTGGTTTTGGTGCGCTAGTAAAGGCCGATGCACCACACATCATTGTGACGCATTGTATTCTGCACAGGCATGCGTTGGCAACAAAAACCTTACCTCCAAAAATGGCAGAAGTATTAAAAACTGTGGTGGAATGTGTGAACTATGTGCGAAAAAGTGCTCTGAGGCACCGCATCTTCAGTGAGCTGTGTAAAGAAATGGGCTCTGAATTTTAGGTACTTCTGCTCCATTCTAATATTCGGTGGTTATCCCGGGGACAGGTGCTGAATCGTGTTTTTGCCATGCGTGTGGAATTAGCCCTGTTTTTCCAAGAGCACCAACACTGCCATGCAGATTGCTTCAAAAATCCTGAGTTCATTCTCATTTTAGCGTACATTGCTGATATATTCGCAGCTCTCAATCATCTCAATCAGCAGATGCAGGGTGGTGGAGTCAATATCATGGAAGCGGAAGAACACCTGAAGGCTTTTCAAAAAAAGCTACCGTTATGGAAACGACGAACAGAGAACAATAACTTCGCAAACTTCCCGCTTCTGGACGACTGTGCAAGTAAGATCGAAGATGTGTCTGGAATCGGAGATATTTCTGCATCCACGGAACTGAAGCAAACAATTGCCACGCACTTAGATGAGCTTGCAAAGTCTCTCGACTGATATTTCCCTACAAGAGAGTCATATCCAGCATGGGTGAGACAGCCGTTCACGTTTGCTGTTGAAACAGCAGATGTCAATGATGAATTCCTCGACGAAATCATTGAAATTCAGCAGAGCCAGGTTCAACAGCAACTCTTCAGAACAACAACGCTCTCAACGTTTTGGTGTCGACAAATGAACAGTATCCAGTTATTGCTAAGAAAGCCCTGGATTTTTTTATACCATTTGTTACAACATATCTTTGTGAGCAATCCTTTTCGAGGATGCTGGACATAAAAACGAAGAAAAGGAACAGACTTTGCTGTGAAAATTACATGAGAGTGGCACTTGCCAAGGTGAAGCCACGCATATCTGAACTGATCTCTCAAAGGCAACAGCAGAAGTCACATTGATTTCCAGGTATGTAATTTGTTGTGAGTTTATGCATTGTGTTGGTTTTATTCTTTGAACAAGGTAATGTTCATGCACGGCTCATTTTGTGTACCAGTAAAAAACATATCTATGTCTTGAATTTGAAAAAAATCACATTTTATTTTTCACTAAAGAGGGGTTCGGTGAATGCGCATATGAAACTGGTGGGGTTCGGTACTTCCAACAAGGTTAAGAACCACTGCCATAGACTAGCATCGCCCATAGACTAACACTGCCCATAGACTAACATCACCCATAGACTAACACTGCCCATAGACTAACACTGCCCATAGACTAACACTGCCCATAGACTAACACTGCCCATAGACTAACACTGACCATAGACTAACACTGCCCATAGACTGACATCGCCCATAGACTAACACTGCCCATAGACTGACATCGCCCATAGACTAACACTGCCCATTAACTAACACTGCCCATAGACTAACATCGTCCATAGACTAACACTGCCCATAGACTAACACTGCCCATAGACTAACACTGTCCATAGACTAACACTGAGCATAGACTAACATCACCCATAGACTAACACTGCCCATAGACTAACACTGACCATAGACTAACACTGCCCATAGACTGATATCGCCCATAGACTAACACTGTCCATAGACTAACATCGCCCATAGACTAACACTGCCCATAGACTAACACTGCCCATAGACTGACATCGCCCATAGACTAACATCACCCATAGATTAACACTGCCCATAGACTAACATCGCCCATAGACTAACACTGCCCATAGACTAACACTGCCCATAGACTAACACTGCCCATAGACTAACATCACCCATAGACTAACACTGCCCATTAACTAACACTGCCCATAGACTAACATCGTCCATAGACTAACATCACCCATAGACTAACACTGCCCATAGACTAACACTGCCCATAAACTAACACTGCCCATTAACTAACACTGCCCATAGATTAACATCGCCCATAGACTAACACTGCCCATAGACTAACACTGCCCATAGACTAACATCGCCCATAGACTAACACTGCCCATAGACTAACACTGCCCATAGACTAACGTCGTCCATAGACTAACATCACCCATAGACTAACACTGCCCATTAACTAACACTGCCCATAGACTAACACTGCCCATAGACTGACTTCGCCCATAGACTAACACTGCCCATAGACTAACATCACCCATAGAGTAACACTGCCCATAGACTAACACTGCCCATAGACTAACATCGCCCATAGACTAACACTGCCCATAGACTAATGTAGTCCATAGACTAACATCACACATAGACTAACATCACCCATAGACTAACACTGAGCAGACTGTTTGGACAAGTGCTGCTAGCGAGCACCTATGAAGGCCGGCACGGTACACGAGGGGGTGGGTGGCCAGCACCATGCCCGGTCTCCTTTGCCTCCCCAGTGTCAATAACATGAACCTTCATTTATTACGTGTACAAGATTTTATCGGTGCAGAATCGCGAGCTGTGGAATCTGTACACGACGAAGAAAAGGGACATGGAAAACGCGGACAAAGCGTCTCCATTGAAGATGCCCGTGGAGAAGATTCTCTTCCACGGGACGGCCCTCGATACCTGCGAGAAAATTAACGCCAACGGCTTCAACAGAAGCTACTGCGGCAAAAACGGTAACGGGACCGTGCACGCGGCACACCTACAATAGACGACGATGACAAATAAGAATCGGCGTGAACCCTTTCTGGTAAAACAGGAGTCGTGTGAAGACGTCCAAACACCAAAAAATAGATACAGCTTTGGCCGAGGCGTTTGAACATCTTGACACCTCCTGTTGTATTGCCAGAAAGGGGAAAGTCTATCCTTGTTTTTCGTACGTTAATGCTGGCAAAGAAAGGTATGCCAGAAACGTAACTGCTCAAACCGAGCTATAAGTGTCCTGATATTTGCATTGTCTTTGCACTCTTGATTTGAAGCTTTCGTGACTGCAGGGATCCATACTCTTTGGTTCTTTCGGTAAAGTCACGTAGGTATAAAATAAAGTAAATCACGACGTTTCGGGCGCAACACATGACGGACGCTTGTGTTGCGCCCGAAACGTCGTGATTTATTTTATTTTATACCTACGTGACTTTACCGAAAGAACCAAAGAGTATGTCTTTGCACTGTTTGCCTCTTGATGTTCTCTGGTCTAACACCGGTGGTGCAGAGACAAGACCACCAAGAAGGCTGCTGTCTCTGATGTAGGCCAATCAGCTTCAAATACAATGCATTTAACAGTATTATCAGAGTGTGTTTGTTTGCCTGTTTTACCACAAGTACGTGTGGTTAATGCGGCAATTGATGCCTTGCAAAAGCTGTCTATTTGGTGTTTGAACATCTTAACACAACTCCTGGGGTGATCGCACATTTACTGGGGTGGTCGTATAGGTGTGGGACTCTCTCCTGGTGGTACCCCAGGTGAGGGACTCTCTCCTGGTGGAACCCCAGGTGTGGGACTCTCCCCTTGTGGAACCCCAGGTGAGGGACTCTTTCCTGGTGGAACCCCAGGTGTGGAACTCCCATTCCACGCCTGGGATATAAACAGGTGTGTTTATACCTTTAAGTCCCCATTAAAAACCGACTGTTGAATCATAACATATTTTTTCTGGGTTATATTGCATAAATATGAATGTCGTTAAACCCGCCACCACCCGACACAGCCAATTCGTTACTCGTTCCATACACACTGGTTGTGTGCTGAAGAGGAAACCCACTACACACATTTACAATTCGACTAGCCGTGACGTTTTGCCGGTAATCACAACAACAACAAGCAGCAGCAGCATCATCAGGCGACAGCCAGAGGTGTGGAGAAATCCCTCCTCCATTTTCGGTCTCAAGTAGCGTGACGGTTCCGCTGGCCTCCTCTCACCCTCGCCGTTCCACTTTTTCATTTTTCAGCCGTGGCCTATGGCAACGGAGTCTACTTTGCGGTGAGTGCGATGTACTCCGCGCGCGACACGTACTCCCCACCGGACTCCGACGGCATCAAATACGTCTACCGGGCACGCGTGCTCACGGGCAACTACACGGCGGGCAGTGTGGGCATGCTCGAGCCTCCGCCCAAGGATCCCATCGTCAACTCGGTGCTGCTGTACGACAGCGTGGTTGACAACACCAGCCGGCCGTCGATGTTCGTCATCTTCAATGACAATCAAGCTTACCCTGAACATATTATTAAGTTCAAGGTACTGTCGTCATCATCATAAAATTCATAACGGGGAGTTTTTTGTTGTTGCTGTTGTTGGGTTAAACCGCTTAAGTATAAATGCGTCGTTAAGCCCGCCACCACCGCCCGACACAATTGGTTACTAATTCAGCACTAACTGGTTGTGTTGGAGAGTAAACCCACTACACCATTTACTCTCCAGCACAACTGGTTAGTGCTGAACTCTTCACTAATCGGCACGTTTTGCAGTTTAACACGTAGACTTTCGCGACCAATATCCATAACAGGTTTTTTAGGTTAGATCGCGTTGTTATATTAATGTGTCATTAAACCCGGCACAATCCGACACAGCCAATTAGTAAGTTTTGTTGCGTATACAGAACGTGCCAATTCGTTACTAGTAGAGCACACCGGTATGTTTGTTGGAGAACAAAGCCGCAACATTTACAATCTGAGTACTCTACAACACACCGGTGTGCTGTACTAGTAAGGAATTGGTACGTTCTGTTGACATGATAAACCTTACTAATTGGCTGTGTTGGGTGGTGGCAGGTTTGAGGACACATATATTCACGCGATCTTATCCTACTATGGATAATATTGGTCAGAAAGCCTCCTACTACTACGTGTTAAACGGATCATCATCAAAACCGCCATCAATCTTCCCATCGCCAGCATTAAAAATCACCATCTCCAACATCAACAGCATCAACGTCAGCACCGTTATCAGCACCACTTCCATCATCATAATCGAAATAACACAGGGCCTTATTCCAAGGCTTTACAATACTAGATAAAAATGCATGTTACGACGACAGTGGTGGTGTAGCTATGGTGACAACAGATGGGGGTGGTTAAGGAAGGGTTGGGTAGTGGTAGGGGTGGGGGTAGTGATGGGGGTAGTGATAATGGTAGGGGTAGTGATAGGGGTGGTGTTACGTGTGGGGGTAGTGATAGGGGTGGTGGTAGTGTTGGGGGTAGTGATAGGGGTGGTGGTAGTGGTGGGGGTAGTAGTGGGGGTAGTGATAGGGATGGGGGTAGTGGTGGGGGTAGTGATATTGGTAGTGATAGGGGTAGTGGTAGATGTTGTTCTCGGCCTGTTCGTAGCTGTGGGGCAGAATAATGATGAAGATGCTGGGCTAGGCAGAAGAGATGGGTTTTCACTTCAACATCGTCATCAGCAACATCCATATCATCAGCGTTGCTGTGAACATCATCAGCGGTAGCATTGCATCATCATTATCGTTCCTCGTCAACAACACCATCATCATAATCAACAACATGATTGTCAAAGTCAGCAACTTCATCGACACCAACGACATCATCAACAGCATAGCCACACAGACTCACAGCCAAGCTACCCATGCACTGAAGATTTGGCACAGCATCATCATCAGCATCATCCTCAACCTAAAGATCACCTCCTCTCCTGAAGGTGGCGCTGCAGCTTGCATACGCCCGGCGTGGGTGCTTTTCCAGTGGTACCTCGGTATACGTCGTTAATTCGTTCCAGAAGAAAGGACTTATACCGAAAATGACGAATACCAAACGAATATTTCCCATAAGAAATACAGGGAAAGGAAATCATCCGTTCCAGAGTATAAGAAATTATATTTTATATGGCATTAATACATTAATGTGGTTGTAGATGTGAAGCTGTCGTGACTGCATGGATTCATACTATGTTTTTTTCGGTAAAGTCACGTAGGTAAAATAAATGAAAACAACTAAATTAAATCACGACGTTTCGGAAGCAACACAAGCTTCCGTCTTCAGGTGTAAACCGTCACAGCAAAATTGCTGTATCAAGTGATTGCTATATCAAGTGATACAGCATTTTTTTTCTCTTTCTCTTTGCTGTCTTTTTTCTTGACTTGGACCTTGTTGAGGCTCACCAGGTTTGAGTTTTACTAAAAACCTCTCCATTGAAGTTTGTTTTTGCCTTCTAAAAATGTTCCTGAAGTGTGACATTGTCTGGTCATTCCACACAATACTGTTACGGCTTGTTAGAGCTTTATTGGGGGTGGGGTACTGTACGCGGTGGCTCATCCCGACCCATACAAGTTCTAGCAAGCGCGTCGTATCCCAAGCAAGACGTCGTATCCCAAGACATTTTTTTTCTCGTCAAAACACGACGTATAGCAAATTCGACGTATTCCAAAGTGGTCGTATACCGAGGTATGACTGTATAGCGGTGGCTCGGAGATGTTAATTACCTCAGCCAGATGCCTGCTGTATATTCGGAGTTTGCCTGTCTCTCTCTCCGTGATAATTTTTCCTCCAGGTCCTCCGGGTTTTCCCCACATTTAGAGTCAACGTGTGTTCATATTATTTGGCTACTGCTATACATAGTTTTGTTTATAAAATACTTTTACACGTAACCATACCTGGTAAAATGAAACTAGTTATTATGCTTTTGCACTTGACTTTCACGCAGTTAGAGCACCTGATACACAATTGAAAGTCATTTATTACATTATTATGCATGTCAGAGTTACATTGTGTGTGAATCGATGTTAGCCCCACGTAGTCAAAGCAACGTGACAGTCTCCTCCGACCTCCAGCAGGGGGCAACAACTCCTGGTCCGCCCGGCACGCCGTGACGGACGTCGTAGTGGCTCGGAGATGTTAACTACCTCGCTCGGTGTACAGGACGTTGTGGGTTCGATCCCAAAACACTGTTCAATCCCGATACACCGACGCATTTATTACAAGAACACCACTGCTGTCAGTACCACTGCTGTCAGCACCACTGCTGTCAGCACCACTGCTGTCAGCACCACTGCTGTCAGCACCACTGCTGTCAGCACCACTGCTGTCAGCACCACTGCTGCTGGCTTTCATCCATGTGTAGCGGCATTGCGCCGGCTGCTGGCAAAAAAGGAGATCTGCGGTGTACAGCAGTACTGACGTCAGCAGACCACGATAGACACGAGAGGGGGGGGCGTCTAGGGGAAACGTCAGAGAGGGGGCCCATCGGGAAGCCTCGGGAACCTGCTGGTAGGTTCCAGAGAGGGGGCGAGGCCACGTGGAGAGTCGAAGTGGGGCCCCTGTGGGGGACCTCGGGGCTGTTGCTGGAAGTTGGATCCCCTTCGTGCTGTTCGAGATAGTCGTCGTCACCATCTCGTCGTCGTCACCATCCCCTCATCGCCGTCTCCGTCTTCACCATCCCTGGGCGCTGCTAGTCAGACAGCCTGTTCAACTGTTCTAAGTAGTGCCGTCGACAATCGACGGTCTTAAGTATAATAGTGTGCAACTGCGTAGGGTGTGTGTTTATCCCGATGATGCTCGTTAAATAAATAAGTGCCTCTAAGTATTACTGTCTCCGAGTTGAGTCACTACATATGTGTGTGTGTGTATGTACGTGTGTATGTACGTGTCTGTGTGTATGTACGTGTGTATGTATGTCTCCGTGTGTATGTACGTGTGTATGTACGTGTGTATGTATGTGTCTGTGTGTATGTACGTGTGTAGGTATGTTTGTGTCTGTGTGTGTATGTACGTGTGTATGTACGTGTGTCTGTGTGTATGTACGTGTGTATGTGTCTGTGTGTGTATGTACGTGTGTATGTACGTGTATGCACGTGTGTATGTATGTGTCTGTGTGTATGTACCGAGCCCATGTCCTTGACACCAGGACCTACCGTGGAGCTGATCTGCCCTCTGACCATCGACTAGTCATCTGTAAGATGCACCTGCCATTCTTCCACTCCGGTGGTGGGTGTACACCCAGGACCCCATTCCGACCTAAAGTGGCCTGGTCTCAGTTATCTGATGAAAGTTGCAAGCGAGAATTTCATCATCGCTTGCGGCTGGGATTGGCATCGTCCCCGACTCCTCCTGATGTCGTGGGTAAATGGGCGAGGTTTAGGACTGTGACTCATGCAGCTGCAATGGCTGCTTTGGGTACGCGGTCCAGACCTCCCCAGAGACCCTGGCTGACAGAGGAGGTGTTCAGGATGGTTGAGAAAAAGCGACAGGCCCACTGTCATCGGCTACAGAATCCCACGTCAGAGAATGAGGAGGCTTACCGCAGCCTTCGCTCGGAGGTTCGGAGAGCCGTGAGGCGCTGCAAGGATGGGTGGTGGTCGCGGGTTGCTGAGCAGATGGAGTCTGCCTCAGTGGCCCGTGATCACAAATCTCTATTTAACTCTATCAAAAAAGTAACCTGCAGCGCCACACCTATTACCATCATTAGGGGAAAAACGGTGATCCAATCTCCGACCCCCAGGAACAGGTTTGCAGATTTGCTGAGCATTTCTGTGAGGTCCTGGGGGAGGGAAAATCCCTCAGCCAGGAAAACATCGTGGCACAAAGTGAGGATGACCCTGCTGAGGCTGCGGTGCCTCAAATATTGGAAGAAGTCACCCCCTGTGAGTGGCTGGCTGAGGTGCCATCTGTTGAGGAAGTACTGAAGGCGATCCGGAGTCTGAGACCAGGAAAGGCAGCGGGCAGAGATGATCTCCCAAGCGAAATGCTGAGGGAGGGTGGCGTTTGTGCACAGGCTGCCCTATATGACATCATAACAACAGTCTGGACCACTGGACGGGTTCCGCAGGATTGGAAGGATGCCCTGGTGGCCCCCCTTTTTAAGAAAGGGGACCACACAGACTGTAACAACTACAGGGGCATCTCACTCCTCAGTGTGCCGGGAAAGGTCCTGGCAAGGATTATTCAGCATCGCCTTGCCAGGCACGCTGAGGAGAGGCTTGCGGAGCCCCAATGTGGTTTCAGGATAGGGCGGTCCTGCACAGATGCCATATTTTCTGTCCGTCTGCTACAGCAGAGGTGTAGGGAATTCCAACAAGACCTAGATCTCTGCTTTATTGACCTGGTCAAGGCCTATGACACCATCAGTAGGCCTGGGCTCTGGGTCGTTCTTTGTGCTTTTGGAGTACCTGACCCTCTGCTCACGATCATTAAGGACCTTCATGATGGTGAGCGGGCCCGGGTAAAACTATGTGGCCGGGAGTCGGAGCCATTCCCTGTACACCTTTGGGTGCGACAGGGATGTCCTCTGGCTCCCACATTATTTAACATCTATTTTGACCACGTAGTTCGTGAAGCCTTCAATAGCTGTACCGGGGGAATCTCCATATGGTACAGATATAATGGGAGGCTGATCGATGCCCGGGTGCGG